GGGCGGGGGGGTAGAGACCTCCTCCAGCCCCTGGGGACCTGGCTGTTCCAGATGCCACAACCGGGAAGTGTGTCAGGCACTTGTGTAAGAGCCTTATGTATTTCCATGGAATCATGATTACTGTTGCCTGCCATGAGCCTTAGCTCAGCAGAGCGGTATCTGGCGGGGGCGGAGGGAGGTGGTAGGGGAACCTGGGGCAAGGCCAGGCCTCTCTGTGTTCTCTGCAGCCCCGGCCCTGTGAGCCTGGGCCTCTTCCTCTCCCCCGCTGGGAGATGGGGACCCAGGCTCAGCTCCCCCAACCATGACGGACCTTCCCATTCTAGAAGCCCTGATTCTAGAGCTGGAGGAAAAGGCTAGCCACTCATGTTTTCAAGTTGGGCTGTCATTGGTGACCCATGGGATGGGGCAGAGGCCACGGACAGGAGGGAGGGGTTTGGACTAAAGGTGTTTATGGCAGAAAATATGTCAGTCAGTCCCTATGGAAGGAGGAGAGACTCCTCACATCAGAGAATCTCAGCCATTCAGAGTGGAGGGCCCTTGAGGGTCAAATAGGCTGGTAATTCATAATCTTTCGGGGATTTCAGATTGTCTGAAGAGCAGATGAATGCTCTGGACTCTCTCCCAGAAAATGTTTATTTTTATTTATTTTTTAATTTTAATTTTTTTTTTTTAGACAGAGTCACACTCTGTTGCCCAGACTAGAGTGTAGTGGCTGATCATAGCCCACTGCAACCTTGAACTCCCCGGCTTGAGTGATCCTCCTGCCTCGGCCTCCGAGTAGCTGGGAATCCAGGTGTGTGCCACCACCCCTGGCTAATTTTTCTAATTTTTTTTAGAGATGGGGTTTCTTTATGTTGTGTAGGCTGGCAGAAAATGTTTTTTATCTTCCAAAATTTCACAAAACTTTAGGGGGTTTAATGAACTCCCTGAAGCTCACTGGCAAGTCCATGGTTAAGTATCCCCAAGAAAATAACAATAATAATAATATCCATTTATTGTACACTTATTCTGTCCATCCTTTACATATATTAATCCATTTAATCCTCAAAAGGACAGTAAGAGATATATCATTATTGCCCCCATTTTAACCCAACTCCTTATTTCAACCTAATCGAATCCAGTTCTGCCAATCTGAAAAGAAGGAAACCAAAGCCCTTCAAGAGACGGACAAATCTCTGCCTGAGGTCATAGAACAGGAAGTACAAGGTAGAACCAGGTTCTCTTAATGTGCTGGACATTGTGCTGCATGTAGACTTGAAGTCTTCTGGTCCATCCCTCTGTCCCAGGGCTCCCTAGAGTCCAGTGCCCGCTCTCCTAGTAAGAGGCACCCCAGTAGTTCTAGTGCCACTTCCGAGGGAGTCCTTCCAGACTGTGACTGCCATTAGTCCTGCTGTAACACCTGGCTCTTGCTCTGCTCACCCCTCATTTCTGCTCTCGGAAGCTAAGATGGGGCGATGTTCCTCCCTCCCCAGGAGAAGCTGGCCTGGCTGTTTCTGTCTTGTCTCTGAGCCTCTGCAGTGGGAGTTGTCAGTACCGAGAGCAATGACTCAGACTCAGGAAAGACCGCTTTGAAACACCCAAGTCTGCAGGCCAGGAAGGACATCCAGAGGTCATGACATCCAGCCCCCTGCCTCTTCCACGTTTGCCCCACTTCAGGCTTCTGATGCCCACACCCCATGGGCCCCAGGGTCCACATGCGTCCCCAGCTGTCCTTAGTGGCCAGTTTCACTGCTCTACCTGGACACTCTTCCCCGTGTCTAGCCAGCATCTCTTGGCCCGGGGATAACCACTTCTGTGTTGGTTTCCCCATGGAATACTGGGCTCCAAATAGACACAGAAAGTGACAGAAGGAAGCTGTTTTCTTTTCTCTGCCTCAGAGAAAGTACTGGGAAGGGACAAATGTCCTAGAAGAAAGGAGGGAAAGAAAAAAATCGACTTCCTTTGCCTGTCTTGCCTGGACTAAGTGCCTCACCACACTAGCTCATTTATTCCCCTCACAGTGGGAGAGGCACAATCACCATTTTGCAGATGAAGAAATCAAGCATCTACATGATTTAGTTACTTGCCCAAAGTCACACAGTTAATTAGTGACTATACAGGTATCGGACCCTAAGGAACCCAAAGCCCCTGCTCTCTGGGAGGAAACAGAGGTGATCCCCCCGGAGGTCTCCAAACACAGAAGGCCTTGTTTGTTCCAGCCCAGGATCGATAGAGGGCCTGCTGACCCCATGTCAGGTGCTGCAAGCATCCCAAAGTCTGAGTCGCCGGGGAAGGGGAAGTTGGACTGGCCTGGGCAAGAGGGACAAAGACACTCCTCAGAGAGGATGGGGAGAAAATGGGCCGCTGGGGAGACCTACGTGAGGGCTGAGCTCAGGCTCCGTCCCAGCTCCTTTCAGGAAACCTAGAAGTCAGAAGGAGTCTGCGGCTGCAGTGGGTAGATCTGGAGGGGGAGGGGACCAAGCCCCCACAACCATGAACCCTCTGCCCTTGTCCTACTTCTGCCACTGGCAAATAAATCTCTATTCCTGGACACAGTAACCTGAGCAGTGCTCCAATGGTGAGCTCATCCTTGGAAGGACAGAAATTGCATGAATGGCTATGTGCATGGGGTGGGGGTGGGCGTCACCTGTCCTTCAGGGCTAGCGTAAAGGCAGGACCTCTTTTGTCACCCAGGTGCCCCTGAGTGCCACCCCCCCATCTTACCACCTGCAGCAGAGGAGGAGGGAAACCTAAACCTGTAAGTTTGTCTACCCACACCCAGGGAAGGGTTCTCTCAGCCACCACCCTATCTCCCTCTCCTTGGACAGGCCAAAGAGATGAAGCTGGACCTTGCGTTGGTCAGGGCCAGAGGAGGCAGAAGGGGAGGGCGCTGGGGTGAGGGAGAGGAACTTGAAGAAATGGTCCCAGGTAATCAACATGCATCAGAAGACCAGGTGGAGAGAGCACCTCGGAGGGCGAGGACCTCTTCTCCCACCTCTTTATACCCCCCCATCTAACTCGACTCCGAGCAGGATCTTCAGGAGGAGGCGTGTCTTAGAGAGGTTTGGGGACCTTAGGTGTGAGGCCCCTTCTCTGTTGAAGTTCAGACATCACGACTGGAAAGGAATACAGTTGTCCTGCGTCCCGCCGCAAAGGAGGAATTGTCTGGCCTGGCCTTTGACACCTATGCCACAGTTTAGGGGTGCGTATATTTGAACAGAGCCTCTCCAGGGCAAAGAGGCATCCAATTAATGGGGCACACAGGTCCCCATTCTTCCTTTACCAACCTTCCGCATCTTTCAGTCTTCACCATCAGGAAGTCCTAACTTTGATCTCACTCCCAGCTACCCTGCTGCAGCCCCAACCTATTTCTATTCTCTGCAACCCCACCCATACTCTAAAATGATCTCCCCAGCCTCCCCTCAATCCTATCGCGGCCCTCAATCCCGGGTTTTTCGGTGTAAAACTACCCCCTCCACTCTTTACCTCCAAGCCCCTCCCCATCCTGTCGAGCCCCCCGAGACTCCGCCCAGCTCGCCCTCCTGGCTACGGCGGCAGCCAATAGCCGAGGACCTGATTTGCATGGCGGCGCGGGGGAGCGGCGCAGGGAAGGGGGAGGGACCAGGCGACCTCCTAAATCAAAGTTGGGAGGCGAGGACTGGGCGGAGGGGCCGCCGGGTGCCGGGCTGGGGCCGGCGGGGGGGAGTGGGAGGGGGATGGGGGGCGGGCGCAGAGGACGGCGGAGCCGGCCGGACACGGACAGCTCCGTCGCTCCCTCCCTCAGCTCATCCTCGCGTCCCCACTTCCCTTCTCCCCTCGCTCGGAGCAGCATCCTCTGCAGACCCTCGGTCCTCACGCCCGGGGCCATCCCGCGCCCGAGGCTCGGTGTAATTGCCTCGCCCTCCCCTGTCAACCCCGCAACTTTCTCCGCCCGCGCCCGGGGGTCGAGGGAGGCTTTGCCTGGGCTTCACTGCGGGTCAGTCTCTGAAGGAGGGCTTCAGAGTCCCAGAGAGACGCCCGCCACCCACAGCCTGCCCCAGCGGGCCTGCCGTCGGGTCTCGGAGCCCTCTCTTCCCCTCTCCCCCTCTCCCCCAACCATGACCGAAATGAGCGAAAAGGAGAATGAACAGGATGACGCGGCCACCCATACCCCCCCAGGGACCGTCTCCGCCCTCCAGGAAACCAAGGTAACTCGGGGGACGCGAGGCCTGGCCCCAGCCCGGTGCACCCCCGGCCCGGGCACCCTCTTTCCGGAGGGGTCGCTGCTGCGGGCTCTGGCGCCCTAGGGTCACCGTAACGGGGCCCGCGTGATGCCTAAGGCTCCGCGCCGCGCCCCAGGGGGAGGAGTGGGCTCGCGACGAGAGGCCACAAGGAGCCCCCAGTCCCACAGGCACGACACGCCCGTGCGCGCGACAGGAGCGGACGCGCTATCGCGACCCTCCCGGGAGGCTGTAGCTGGGCTTTGTTGGAGGGAATGGGCAGCGAAGGCAGAGGGAGTCCGTAGCGGTGTGTAGCGGTGTGGGCCGGTGTACGCGCCGGTGTGTGCGTGGGAGGCGCACCCCCTCCAGTGGCGCCAGGTCTCTGTCTGTAGCTCTCAGTTCGTTTCCCTCTCTAGCTCGTGTCTCTCTGAATATGTCTCTACAACCCGTCTCTGTCTCGGTGTCTCTTTGTATGCATCTCTCCCCGGTTGTCTCTGAGTCTTTGGGTGTCTCTCGGACCCTCCGCAGTCCTGCATTCCCCCTCCCGACCGGGTTAGGCTCGGGGACGTGAGGCCGCGGCTGGGGGTGCGCAGCTTCCGAGTCCGCGCTGGGGGCTGCGGCAGCGCGGGCCGTCCGTCGCGGGCGGGGACGGGGGACTGTTGTTGCGGCTCCAGGCCAGAAAGACAGGCAACCCCACCCCCCACCCCGGGAGCCGACGGAGGGGGGGTGCGGGTAGAAGGAAAAAGAGAAGTCTTCGTAATTAATGAATGTCATAATTAACCCTAATTATGTATGACTGTTACTCCTGCGGGAGTCACAATGAATAAATTATTCCCCGTGAAGGAGGGCGGAGCCCAGACTCCGGCACTGAAAGCGGGGAGGGGGGGCGGATGCCGTCGCTCACATTCTACCCCCCACCTCTAATCTGTCTGCTCCCTCCCCAAGTTCTAGGTGCTGGCGACTGACCCGCGCGGAGAAGTTCTGCGGGAGCAACTAGAGCAGGCCGGGGAAGGGACAGAAGGGGCTGTGGCAAGGGTGCTCCCTCCCCCATCCTCAGACTTGAGGCCAAGACCTCCTTCCCTCTCCTCTCTACTCTGGTATTTTTGTTCCCATCCTGCTCCCCTTACACAGAGAAGGGGGGCAGTGAGGACCAGAAATAAGTGGGTCTTGGGCTCCCTGGTATGGCTAGCTCCCTATAGTTCTTCCCACTGTCCATCTTCCTCCTCATTCCATCTTGACCACCTTTCAGGATCTGAGGTTAATTCAAGGTCAAGGTCATCAAGGGAGTGTCCAGGGGGAGATGAGTAGGGCCAGAGTAGAGCTGGGTGAGGCAGCCCAGGTAGCTCCCCATCCCTGAACGAGGGGACCCTGCAGGCCTCCATGTCCAAGTCTTCAGATGCATACTTTACCTTCTCCTGCCCGCTTCCAAAAATGAGACCCTGGCCTCTCAGACCAGAGTTAACTCCCCCTTAGACAGCCAGGTCTCTCCTGGGAAAGGAGTAAGGTGTTGGGATTGGAGGATATTGCTTGGAATATTTGCGACAGCTTCTGTCAAGCAGAGGGTCCTAGGAGCTGAGCCTCCTGAGTTCCACTGCCCCTGACTTCTCAGTTGCCCTCTGCTCACCCCAGCGACATACACAGTCCCCCTGCTTGCTTCTCAGGGGCTTGGGTGCCTCCCAGGCCCCACCCTGCTTCCCACACCAAGGCCTGTCCACTCCAGCCACCTCCTGGGGAGCTTGGAAGGCAGGCGCTCTGGGCAGTGCTGCCTCAGCAATCCAGCAGGCTGCAAGCTCAGCTGTGTGGGGAGGAGGAGGTCAAGGCCAGCAGGTCTGTACCTCCCTCCTCTCAGCCCAAGAGCCCTCCGATGTTGTCATCCCCAGTCTGAGCCGGAGAGATCCAAATGCCAGGGAAGAAGAGGGATTTCACACCTGACCTGGCCCCTCAGTGCCAGGCCAGTTGCAGCCCTGCCCCTTCCCCCCATCTTCACCCTGTGAAGGACTCAGGAATGAAAACACAGGCTGACTGTGAGTTGGGTTGGGGGCATCCAGCAGAACAGAGCCAGGAAAGAGAGAACTCGGGGCCCTTGCCAGCCTCCTTGCATCCCCGCACCTCAACATGGCCCAAAGAAACTGTGTTCCCAGACTGTGGGAATGGGGGAGACGGAAGAGGAAGGGTTGACTGCCGCCCCCCAGCTCAGTGTGAGGCAGGTACAACAGAGGGGGCGGTGCTCATCAGACAGTGAAGCCAGCATTCCAGGCTTATTCCTCAGAGTTTGGTGCCCCTTGGGCATTTCTTGCCAGCCTGAGAGTCCAGCCTCCTGCTTATCCCAAGGCTGAGTCTCAGCCCTGTACCCAAGCTACTAAGTGACCTTCCTAGTGGGTCCCCCTTCTCTCTGGGTCCCTATCCCATCCTACCACATAGGACCTGCCCATCACCCCCTTTGGTGCCATCTCTGGGAGGACCCTGCCATGCCAGCTCTGCCATCTGAGTCAGCTTGCGCCATGTCCACCACCACCCACTGCCAGCTGCCTAGCGCCCTTTCAGGAGATGCTGTGGGGAACTGAGGAAAGGAGCCTCCAGGGTGTGGGGAGGAGAAAAGCAGGTTGGCCCCGTCTCTGGGAGGGGGTTCAGAGAACAGACCTGGTGACCCAGGCTCCAAGCCAGATGAGCTCCGGGTGCATTGGGAGAGAATAAGCTCCAGGCTGGACAGCTTGCCAGGGAACATGGCAGCTTCTCCCCGTGCCAGGGAATCAGTCCCGGGTACGTGGGGGCGCCAGAAAGATAGCTGGTGGGGACACGGGAAAAGGTCCTTTCTGGGAACTAGGAGTCCCAGGAGCAGGAATACCTGGCCTGGCGGAGCCCAGATGAGGTTTGGGGAGCCAAGCCAGATGTCTCTGGAGTGGGCGGGCAGCAAGCCATTTGGCAGAGATGCCCCAATCCTGCCCTGTAGCCACAGCCCTTGACATCTGCCAACTACCCCAGGTGGCATGTTATTCCTTCCTATTTGTCCACCCTGCTGGGATCTGGGGCCCACAGCTGAGCCAGGAAGTTGGCGGGCAGAATTGGGGCTGCCCTGGTGCTGGGGAACATTCTGTTCCAGAGGCCTCTGGTACCCTGCAGAGGTGGCTCTTGGCACTGAGACCGGGGGGTAGCACGAAAGGGCATAGCCTCCGAGAGACTTGAAATCTCATCTCATGAGAATTACTATGGAAATAATGGCCTTGGGGGTAGGGGGAACGTGATTGATGTCTTCAAATATTTGAAGGGCTGATGCATATGAGAGGGAGTGGCCCTCTCTGGAGCCAAGGGAGGAACAAGGGCTGATAGGCAAAAACCACAGGGAGGCGGGTTTCAGCTCTATATAGGGAAGCACTTTCCAGCGATTGCAGCTGCCCAAAGATGGAATGACTGTCCCAAGAGAGGGTGTGCTTCCCATCGCAGGGCAGGGGCTGACCAAGGGAGTCAGACAGCAATTCAGAGGCATGTGGCCAGAGCGTCGTGGGGCAATGGGGTGGGGACTGCTCCAGAAAGCCAATATTTCAGGTCCCTTCTAACCTGAATTCTGTGACTGGAATTCCTGGCGGACTGGCCACGGCATGGCTGAGGGGCAGGGGTGAGGGCCTAGAGCATCAGGATGTTCCTGGTCCATTGGGCTCAGCAGCCAGAGCCACTGGTTCAAGTCCTGGCTCTGCTCCATACCAGCTGGCTCATGGGTAAGGGATTTAACCTATGAGCCTGAGTTTCTCATCTGAAAAGTGGGACAAAAATCCTCACCACCCCAGAGGGTAGCATCAGGCTTAATGAGATGCTGCATCTAAAATGCTAGCTCAGTTCCAATTCTCTGACAATGACAGCCCCTTGTTGATAAGTTTCTGGGTTTTAGGGGGCTTTTTTTAGGGGGGTGGACCTAGAACCTTGTATGGCTGAGAGAGCATCCAGTCTTGCCCCTTCCCTCTTGGATGTGGGAAAACTGAAGCTTAGAGAGAGGAAGCGAAGTGATTTGCCATCAGGCAGCTGGTTTCGTTTTGCCCCCACGCCCAGCATATCCCCACAGAGACCCCATGTGCTCTGTGCCCAGGTCCCTGGGCAGAACAGTGGGTGGTTCACCTGTCTCTTGGGGCCCATTAGAGCCACGCTGGGCCCCAGATGGCCCACAGCTTGACCCTGGCTGGTATTTGTATTCTAATTAATTGTCTCTCCAGCCCTCCATCTCTGCTCCCATGCCCAGGTACCCTGGCCTGGGGGCCGTGCTCCTCACATCCTCACAGCTGCACAAAGAAGCCCACAGCGCTGTCCAGGAAGCTGAGTCTGGAAGGAGCCGAGCAAGTCAGCCGCCAACCACCCTGGGGCTCTGGCCTCCCAGCTGGCACACCAGAGCCTGCCTGGTGCCCAAACATCCCCATCTCTGCTTCCCCCTCTGTCTTGCTGCCTGCTGGCCTCCTGGAGGCTGGAGGGGCCACCACTCCCATCCCCTTGGCACAGTTGCTAGGCAGGCAGCCCTGGCACACAGGCTGCCCGGCATGCCAGCTGGGAGCCCTGGCCAAGTCTCTGCCTGGAGCCCAGCCCGTGGCCCCCTTTTTCTATCACTGGTAGAAAGAGTGGGCAGGGGTAAGGCAGCTCTCAACGGGAAGGGAGAGGTGCAAGGCTCTGGGTAGAGAGGTTTCCAGGGCTTTCTGCAGGCAGATTCAATAGGGTGTGTTTGGGCGAGCAGTGGAAACAGCTGTGGCATCATTGCAGAGCCAACCCTGTGCCCCAGAACACGGGCTCCAGGTAGGAGTCCAGCCACTTACTCACCTGAGGCTCGTTGACTGGGCACCTACTGTGCGTTGAGGCCCGGTGTGGGGATTCGAAGCGACCGTGTCCGCCCCCAAGAGGCTCAGAGTCTCCTGGGGGAGTGAGAAGTGAATGACACCAGTACCTGACTGGGGCTATGGTGCCAGTTAAGGCTGGGTGCAGCGGGCACCAGAGGAGGGGGGGTCCATGGGATGGACGTCCTGGAGGAAAAACGACAGCTTCCCAGAGGAGGAGGTGCCGTTGGAAGGATATTGGCGGGATAACCGGGGTATCAACTGGGTAAGGCAGAGAAGAGCACGAGCACATCAAAAGCCCAGAGGCATAAAAGCATGGATGAGTTCTAGAATCCTCCTATGTGGGCTGTGAGAGGAAAGTCGGGGTTGGGAGGACGGTGTGGCCGAGTTGCAGGGAGTCTCATGGCTGGGACAGGGCTTTGGACTGTGTCCTGAGGAGCCGTGGAAGGTTTTTAGCAGGGTCAGGGCTCACCTCCCTGGCAGCTATATGGAGGGCGGGTGGTGACAGGCCTGGTGGAGGGATTGGCGGGGCAAGGAGCTGTGGCCCTGAACCAGGCTGGGGGCATCGGGGCCTGAACCAAGGCACGGCTGTGGCGGTGATGCGGTGACTGCAGGGAAGGGGCTGGAGAGGTGTTTTGGAGGGAGAATCAGCCCCGAGGATGAGGGTCCAGGGTGACCGCGCCCCACACCCTCTCAGCCCGTTCGAGAACACAGGTGGAAAACTAAGGACCTGGTGTGTTTTGCTTGGCTGCAAAATGTTATTTTTTTTCTTAATTTGGGTAAATGGTACACCCATACAATGAAATACTTTGCCGCCATAAAAGAGAATGATGAAACTTTATGTGTTGGTATGGAATGATTTCCAAGATTTACTGTTAAGTGAAAAAAGCAAGGTGTAGGAAAAATAGTACATTACCATTTCTGCAAAGAAAAAGGAAATAAAAATTCTTAAATTTATTTCTATGCCATTTCACATAAAAGTCTAGATTTTTCTTTTTGTTGTTGAGACAGGATCTCGCTCTGTCACCCGGGCTAGAGTGCAGTGGCATCATCATTGCTCACTGTAGCCTATCAACTCCTGGGCTCAAGAGATCCTTCTGCCCCAGCCTCCTGAGTAGCTGGGACTATAGGCCCGTGCCACCACGCCAGGCTAATTTTTCTATTTTTAGTAGAGAGGGGGTCTACCCTCCTGCTTAGGCTGGCTTCAAACTCCTAGCCTCAAGGCGATCCTCCCACCTCAGCCTCCCAAAGTGCTAGGATTACAGGTGTGAGCCACCAAGCATGGGCCTAGATTTCCTTTGAACAATTGGAAAACCTAGCAACACCGGGCTGGCCTTATAGACTGGTCTCAGTTGGCTCAAGGAGACATCAGCTGCTCCTCCCCGGCCAGGCCACCAGTTTGCCACAGTCCCCACAACTCCTGGCTGCTGCCTGCCCTGCCAGAATTCCTTTTTTTTTTTTAATTTTTGTTTTTTAGAGATAGGATCTCACTCTGTCATCCAGGCTGGAGTGCAGTGGCACAATCATAGTTCGCTGCAGCCTCCAATTCCTGGGCTCAAGCAATCCTCCCGCCTCAGCCTCCCGAGGAGCTGGGACTACAGGTGCACACCACCATACCTGGCTAATTTTTTTATTTTTTATAGAAATGGGGTGTTGCTATGTTGCCCAGGCTGGTCTTGAACAGAATTCCTTTCTTCATGGAGGTTACGTGCCTGGCTCCTGTAGGCATCTGAGAGCTCAGGAGCCTCTCAGTGCTCCATGTCATCTCTGACCCTTGGCCCCACGCTGCTGCCAGACACATCCCAAAGGGCAGCCCGCTGTGGGCCAGCCCCCTTCGGCCCCCACTCACAGCTCCCTCTTCTCTCAGCTCCAGCGATTCAAGCGCTCGCTCTCCCTCAAGACCATCCTCCGAAGTAAGAGTGTGGAGAACTTCTTCCTTCGCTCGAACTCTGAGCTCAAGTGCCCCACCGAGGTGCTGCTGACACCCCCAACCCCACTGCCCCCTCCCTCCCCACCACCCGCATCCACAGACGGGGGCCTCCCTACCCCAGCCCCCTCCCCGTGCCCAGTCCCACGCCCCCTGGCACCACTCAAACCCATGAGGCTGCACAGCTTCCAGGAACATGTCTTCAAGCGAGCCAGCCCTTGTGAGCTGTGCCAACAGTTCATTGTGGGTAGGTGCCCGGGCCCTGGGCTGGGCAAGGGGAGTGCAGGGAGGGCGTTGGGGATGGGCCCATAGGACTGCCCGGTACTGGGCTCCTGCTGTTCAGGGCCTCAGCACTAACTACGCCTCTCACCCTGGGCAGACAAGTGAGCACTGTGGGGGTGGGTGTGCACCCAGCGTCGCGGCTGTGCTTACTAACGCGTCCGGCTTCAGTGCCACCTCTCACCCTGACTGCATGAGGGGTAGGTGCTAGGCCCAAGGCTGGCATGAGCGTGCCCAACCCCTGCTCTCCCCGCATGCCCTCGCCTGCCTCCCTTGCTCCGTGTCCATGGAATAGCCTCTCTTGCTGAACCCAAATCCTTCCTAGGAAACTCCAAGCAGGGCTTGCGATGCAAGACGTGCAAAGTCAGCGTCCACCTCTGGTGCTCTGAGGAGATCTCCCACCAGCAATGCCCAGGCAAGAAGGTGAGTGGGCAGCCAGGCAGAGACGGCTGGTCTGGGGTGCCCCCGGGACTGTTGAGTGGGGGAAGGATACCCCTGGCTGGTTCCTCCTGCGAGGCGTCCCTGGGCTGGAGGAGGGCCAAGTTCTTGATGGGCTGTGACCTCCTCGTGCCCTCTCTCTGTCCCCTTTTGGTATAGTCCACCTCCTTCCGCCGCAACTTCAGCTCCCCGCTCCTGGTGCATGAGCCGCCGCCAGCCTGTGCCATAAGCAGAGAGTCCCCACCCACTGGTGAGCGTCCCCCTGTCGCCCCTGCCCCCCTGTGGTGCAGTGAGAAATCCATGCATGCCTCAGATGGGCACTGAGTCACACTGGCACTGCCAGTTCTTGGTGCCCCTGTCCTGAATATAGGGTTCATTTGTTCATTCGTTCAGTCATCCTTCAATAAACACTTTATTGAGCACCTGCTAAGTGCCAGGCACTGTGCCAGACTCTGGGGAAAAGCACTGAAGAAGGTGGAGTTTATGGTCCAGTAAAGGGGAGACCTGAAACAGCCAGGCCCCCATCACAGGTCATCAGTCAGTCCCCACTGGGGTGCACCCCTCAAGGCAGCAGGCCAGAGGACAGAGTGTGTGGTGAGCATGGCCCTTGTCCGCAGTTAGGGAAGGGAAGGCTTCTGGAAACACAAGGATGAGGAGTTTGTCCATTGAGGATCTGGAAAGACCAGCGTGGAAAGGGGGAGGCCTGCGGCAGGCAGGGGCAGGGGCAGAGAAAGGGCAAAGTGGCTGGGCTGAGGGAGCGGGAGGAAGGGTGTGAAGAGACCGTGGCCGCAAGGCCGTGGGGGCCACTTTAGGATCCTCTAAGGGCCGTGTGTGTCTCTCCAAGAGCGTTTTGGCTGCTGTGTGGATTGGCAGGGCTGGAGTGGAAGCAGGGACACCAGTTGGGAAGCTGTGACAGTTGCCAAGACCGTGTTTGGTAGCTTGAGCCAGGCTGGTGGCAGTGGGGATGGAGAGAGGTGGGCAGGTTCTAGGGGTGTCCGGGAGGTAGGACCAGGTGCTGGAGGGGCTGTGGACAGCGAAAACAGCAGGGAGTCAAGAATGCTCCAGGTTTCTGCGTGGGCGCCCTGGGCGGACGCGGAGCTGTCACAGGGATGAGGAAGACCTGGGTGGGACAGGTGAGGGCGCAGATTGCGGGCTTCAGCCTGGGGCGCGCTGGGCTGGGGCTGGAGATACAGCACTTCAGGGCCAGCTGGTGCCAGGCCTTGAGGGTGGACACTCAGCAGGGGCCAGCGGCAAGGTGGACCCCGTCTACGAAACCCTGCGCTATGGCACCTCCCTGGCACTGATGAACCGCTCCAGCTTCAGCAGCACCTCTGAGTCCCCCACACGGAGCCTGGTATGGTGGGCACCAAAAGGGAGCTGGGGGGATGCTGAGCATGACAGTGGGTCGGGGGCCTGAGCCCTCCCCTCTCTGTCCCCAGAGTGAGCGGGATGAGCTGACCGAGGATGGGGAAGGCAGCATCCGCAGCTCCGAGGAGGGGCCTGGCGACAGTGGTGAGTGGGGGTGGGCTGTAGGGGCAGGAGTGGGGTGCAGTGGGGGGCGCTCCCTGCTGCCTCACACCCTGCCAGCCCCCCGCCCACCCCACATCTCCAGTATTCACAGCCCCAGCCGAGAGCGAAGGGCCAGGACCAGAGGAGAAGAGCCCAGGACAGCAGGTGAATGTGGCTCTGAACCCTGCCAGGCCAGGGGAAAAAGGGTGTGGCTTCTCCCGTCCCTGGTCCATAGGTGGGAAGAGTGTGGCAAGTGGGGGTTCACTGCTCCCTCACTGTCCTCCATCCCCAGGGACAGCTGGGTGAGAGGGCACAGGAGGCAGGGGTGCTGCCCCTCCCACCACTGAGCCACCACCTCTTGCACCCACTCCTGTGCCCCCAAGAGCAGGCAGTTCCAGGGTGCAGTGAATAGAGGGTGTCTCCCCTCCCCAGGCCTGGCCCAGTCCACTTAGGGGCAGATGGGCATGGCAGGTGGGAGGGGCTTACTTCTCTCTGTCATTGACCCAGGACCCACAGCGTCCCCGCTCCCAGCCCCCCAGGGTAGACATGCTCAGAGCAAGTGGATTTTGGGGGAGCGAGGGTGCTGCCCTCCCATCACTGACCCGGAGCTCCTCCTGCAGCGCCCTCAGCCTCCCCTGAGGAAGGACGTGGGGCCTATGTACTCCTACGTCGCGCTCTACAAGTTTCTGCCCCAGGAGAACAACGACCTGGCGCTGCAGTAAGTCCTCTCTGTGACCCGGCCCCACTGGGCATCCGCCTGGCTCCAGCCTCAGGGCTCTGCCTTGACCTTGCAACACGAGCGTGAGGAGGACCTTCAGGAACATTTTCCTTGCACGCGTGAGGCTGCAGAGCCCAGGCAGGAGCCGGCGCTGCCCAGGGTCTAGGAGTAACTCGTGCTAATGTCATTGCTCCTGCCCACTGCCCGGGCTGTCCTGGAGCGTGTCTGCTGTGCCTGTGGTCACACAGTGTCCTCTCAGGGCTTCAAGAATCCTCTCCCAGCTGAGGGGGGCATGCAGGGTACCCAGGTGCCCAGGGACTGCTGGGATGGGGGGGCAGCCCCCCACCCCATATGCTAGCCCAGTTCTCCCCTCCTCAGGCCTGGGGATCGGATCATGCTGGTGGATGACTCCAATGAGGACTGGTGGAAGGTGACTTGGTGGGAGGGGGCGGGGCCCGGGGAGGCAGTGGAGGGACCCTAGTAGGGACCTTGACAGCCCCCACACTCAATGGGCACTGCTCCCCTTTCTCTCCAGGCCCCAAAGTAGCCTCCACTCCTCCGCCACCAGCCCTAGCCCAGCCTAGGACCAACCTTGGGCCTCGCCCTCAGTTCTGCCTCGGTTTTGTCCCTCTGCCCACCTCATGCCCTTCCTGGCCCAGAAGCCACCTGGCCGGGGCTGGAATTCAGAGCCCACGATCTGGAGGATGATGGCAGTGGCTCTGAGTGGGAATTGGGTCTAGAGAAAGCAGTGGGGGGTGGAGGCGGGGTGGCGCTGTGCTCATTGCCAACCTCATCCCCAGGGCAAGATCGGAGACCGGGTTGGCTTCTTCCCAGCCAATTTTGTGCAGCGGGTGAGGCCAGGCGAGAATGTTTGGCGCTGCTGCCAACCCTTCTCCGGGAACAAGGAACAGGGTTACATGAGCCTCAAGGAGAACCAGGTGAGTGCTGGGGGCCCCGCCTGGGCCCTGCAGAGGCTGGAGAGAGTGGGCGCAGGAGACAGGCAGCAGGGACAGGGGTACCCTGTGGAGGATACTTGCTGTCTGGCAGCAGGAGAGGAAGCAGCTTAGAAGTTGGGGAATTTGGGCTGGTGAAAAACAGAGGCAGGGGGCTGAATGACGTTAGAGGCAGCTTGGGATAGGGTGGGAGCACTGGATGAGGAGTCTAGAGGCTTAGGTTGGAATGCGGGCTCTGGCTTGTTGCATAACCTGGGGGAGGTCCTTTTCCCTCTGTCACCTCCTCTGTGAAATAGGGGTGGGGCAGGGCATTAGACCCTCGGATCTCCAAGGTCAGCCCTGACATGCTGCTGGGTGTCTGCTGACGTCCTGGTCTTGCTGCGGAGCCCTGTACCCCCACGGGATCTGCTCCCATCACCCCAGCGAAGGGCTCCCTCCTCATCTGACACTGGTCCCATCATCCCCTGGAGTGGGTCCCCTGGGGGCCACCAGCAGGACTCAGGGCCAGGGCTGCAGGCAGTGCCAGGCCTCAGCTCCCTGTCTCCCTGGCTCAGATCTGTGTGGGCGTGGGCAGAAGCAAGGATGCTGACGGCTTCATCCGCGTCAGCAGCGGCAAGAAACGGGGCCTGGTGCCAGCCGATGCCCTGACCGAGATCTGAGAGGAGCCAAGAGAACCCAGATGCCACCCCTGCCCATGCCTGGCCCTTGCCTCTGGCCCGGGAGGGAGCAAGCGTCCTTGTCCACACCCTTCCTCCTCTGCCTCTCTCCAAGGTGCCACTCACCAAGGCTTAGGGGCCTTCTGTGCTGAGGAAGGTGTTATTTCTTGGGTGGGGTGCCCTGAGTGGGTTGATCCTCTGGGACTTGGGGTGGGAGTAGGAGAAAGTGGGAGGGAATGGGGACGCTGCAGCCTGGTCCACCCAGCCCCCAGGTACCCCCAGACCAATGGCCATGTGGAGTCCAGCCCTGGGGACGGTTCCTGGGGAACTTCCCTGCTGCTTTTTCCAGAGTCTTCCCCCTGCCACACACCACCTTCGCATGCCTGGCACACCTCTCTCCCCACAGAGCCTCTGCTTGGGTCTATGTGTGTGTGACCGTGTGTCTGCCCCTTTGCAAGTGGGGCCTTGAGAGGGGGCCCCTCTCTGTCACTCGGCCCTCCACCCTGGGCTGGGAGGGGATCCAGGGCCATGGGAGGGTCCTGAGTCCACCTCCTGGTCCCACCACCTCTGTCACTCCGTCAATTCTCAGGAAAGTTCTGCAGGAATCTCTCCCATTACTTGAAACCTGGGCCAACAGAGGAGGGGAGGGCTGAGGTCCCCAGAGGCTGTGACAAATCAGAGATTGTCCCCTCAAGAAAACAACCATCATCACAGAACAGCCTCACCCTACCCTAGTCCACCAGAAAAGGGCACCCGAGAGCAGTCTGGGTGCAGAAACCCAGTGGAGAGCACACACTGGCCCGGGCCTGGTCCCAACAAGCCCATTTCACCGTGGGGACTCCAAAAGCCCCCAGGTATGCGGCAACCAGCCAGGGGAGCCTGTCATTGACAGCTCCTGTCTCAGGCCTCACCAAGCCAAGCCACCAAGGCCAAGCCATTCTAGGAGCCCAACCCTCAGGGTGACCTTCCTCGCACCCTCTCTCCGGGCTGTACAGGGTCAGGGCTGCTGCTGCAGGTGCTCCTTTCTGGCTGTATCTGCTGCTTGGTCCTGGACACAGAGCCCTGGGAAGAAGAGGGGGTGGATGACAGACAAGGAAGTAGAATGTTCTGTTTGGCCACCAGGAAAGGAGGGGGTAGGCATCCTTGGGGGTGGGCGGGCACACACAAAGATCATGCCAGCCAAGGCCGCCCCCCATCTTGGGCACAGTCACACCCTTCCACGCACTGAGAGGGACACAGATCCTCCTACGCAAAGGCCCCTACCCCACTTCTGCCCCACAGAGGGGGCTCAAGCTACACTGCCCTGTTTGCTGCCATGAGGCCCCCCCAGCGATATCCCAGGGGCGGGCCCAACGCCCACTGTACATGAGGCTGCATGATGGGTCTGCTGGGGCATTGCTGAGCCCCCGGACCCCTGATTAAATGTTTCTTGTCCCAGCCTGTCTGCTCTGTGCATCTGATTAGGGTAGAGGAAGGAAAGGGGCGGGATGTGGGGAGGCGGGGAGGCGGCCTGGGGTACCTAATGGGACAAGGCTGAGGGCAGAAGAATTTGCGGATCTCAGGAGGGGTGTTGGTGCTGGGGTGACACAGCAGGGGGCCCCTGCCACCCAGGCAGCCTGAGAGGGGTGGGATCTGGGGAGAATGACTGGAAAGGACCTGCGGAAAGGGGGAGATTTGGCGACATTGGAGGGAGAGGGGCTGCGGTCACTTTCTGGTTGGATGCACCCGAGTCGCTTGGGGGTGGGCACACACTTCCGCGCCGGACCGTTCTCGCCCACCCAGAGGTGTCCTCGGAGATCCAGCCGTGCCGGGGTCTACGAGGGCTCAATACCCACCCGAGATCAGCCTCGCCCCTGCCGCCCCCGAGCCCTAGACAGAAACGCTGGCGGCGGGGACCGTCGTGGACGGTGGGGCCCTGAGATGACTCAATCGCGCCCGTCATCAGGAGCCTGGCACGAAGGGGCCGGCGGCGGCGCACCCCTCCCGCAGCCGTGCCCGCCGCCCACCCGCTCTGGGAGGGCTGCCTCCTTCCCCTCCGCCTGCCCAGCCGCGTCATCGTCGCCGTAGCCACGGCCAGCACGTCCTCTGCTATTTATAGGCAGAGGGGAGCGGGAGGGAGCGGGAGGCGGGCTGCGGGGGTGCAGGGGCATTGGCGGTGCCACTGGGATGCGGGTGGGGGGGCCCTCCTGACAGGTGCCCTTCCTCCAGCCCATCCCGGTTACAGCCCCCCACCCCTGAGCAAGGTGGGCCAGGTGGGACCAGACCTTGAGGCCCCTCCCCTGAGCTTTTGTTGGGCCTTTTCACCCAGGGAAGGCCCTAGAGGTGGGGGTGTGGGGAGCAGGGAAGGGAGGGTAGCTCTCCCCTTCCTAAGATCCCTGGCGGTGGGAGTGGAAGAAGGGGTCACACACCCAGTCTAGAGGCTTAAGGACAGGGGAATTCTCATAAATAGGCACTTACTGTGCCCAAGGAACGTGCCAGGAACTCAACGTTATTTAATCCTCTCAGTGACCCAGTGAGGAAATTGGTGGTGTCCCCTTTACACAGACGAGGGACTGACTGAGGCACAGAGATGTTCGGTGGAATATCCAAGGTTATAGATGATCCAGCTCAAGCCTGCCCCTTTTATACATGGGGAAACTGAGGCCTGGGGTGGGCTAATGACTTGTCCAGGCTCACCCAGCAAATCAGTGATCAAACCAGTCCCAGAACCAGTTTCCTCGGGTTCAGCTCTTTCCCTGCCCTACCCTGGGTCCCTCAGTGCCTTAAACCAATAAGATGGAGACACAGACACCCTAGGATGCTGGTCCAGGGGCTCCGGGGATCAAGACCCCACCTCACTGGAGACAGTGAGAGCCTTGCAGCCACCCCTTGGGCACACCACACGTGTGTCTGCCACCAGCCGGCAGCTGGCCTGGACCACCCCCCAGCCTGTTTGCCGCCCTGCTGAACACAGCAGCTTTTTCGGGTGGCTGAACCACCGACAAAATGCTCCCAGCCTTGGGAACAGCTGGTGCCCCCACTGTAGCCTCTGCCCCCCTCTGTGCCCACTCTGGGGGTGACTGAACCAGCAATACCATTGGCCTGGGGGAGAGGACGCCCAGGAACCCGCTGGTGGTGCCATCCCACATTTGGCCCTGTTGTTTCTGACCCACACGTGCCCTTCATCCCCCACCGCAGCCTGAGCTTAACTGGCAGGTACCGTGTGGGCTAAAGGTTACCCGGGCTTCGGGGAGATGTGGAAAGAGGGCAGAGTCTGGCAGCCAGAGACAGGGAGGCCTGGGGAAAACACACAGTGAGCCTCTGTGCAACCCCACCTACCTTGCTAGTGCCACCCTCTTCAGCCTCTTCACCCCCCCATCCTAACCCCCCCCCAGCCCCCCAGTGCTTGGGTAGGCTGGGGGCATCTGCTGTGGAGTACAAGGAAGATGCCTCCACCCTCCCTGTGCTTTGCAGGGAGCCAGCCGGGGTTGTCCCTGTCATGGCCACAGGGACAGCCCTGGAAGAAGGCCAAGCTCCCCTGTCCCCCCTCCTCTAGCTTATGGCCCTACAGGAGCAGCTGTGCTCAGTGTCTCTGCTGCACCCCACTCTGAATCACACCCTCCCACGTCTGGAAATTGCAGACGGGAATGAGAGTCAGGTGCTAGTGTTCGTGCAACACTGAGATTCTGGGGAGTCGTTGCCTCCTCTGGGCCTCAGTTTCCTTATCTCGAAAATGAAGAGTGGTGCTTGCTCAGGAAGTCTTAACCTGGGGGCCAGAACTCCGTGAAGAGGTGTGCAATTCTATAATGGGGATAGTTGTGTGCTCTTGAGAGAAAGGAGAAGGGACACTTTTTTTTTTTTTTAAGAGATGGGGTCTCACTATATTACTCAGGCTGGACTTGAACTCCTGGCCTCAAGCTAGCTGGGACTACAGTTGTGCACCTCCGTGCCCAGTGGGCCACATCTTTCAATCACACTTTGACACAGCTCCAAGACCTGGAGGAAATCCAGGGTTACTTTAGGGGCTTTTCCTGCTGGAGGCTCCTGAGGGCCCTCCCAGGCACTGCCCTGGGAAGGGGCTGCAGGCCCAGGCCTGGGGTGAGGTTCAGAAAGAAGTGACAAAACCCAAGGCTTCCCAGGAGGTAGGTTCCTACAACCTCATAACCCATCCCTTTCCTCCTCCCCCTTTAAAACAAACACAAATAAACCAAAACCAAACTCCAGCAGGGCAGCGGCCAACACCTGCAGGGACCTACGAGAGAACAGCGCCATCTCCTGGTCCAGGGTGGAAACCAGTTTCTGTGCTGCAGGCTCCGGTTACCTCCTTCTTCCTTTCTGCCTTCTTCACTGCGCGGAGGGATGGGTTGGGCCGTCTCCTTCCTCCTGTGGGCCAGGCCTGGGAAGGAGGCATCCCACACACCAAACTGGGAGCTTGGCCAAGGCTTTCCACTTCCAGGCCTCAGCTTCCCCTCTTCCAGGGGCAAAGGCTTAGGTAAAGCCACACAAGCTGCTCTAGTGGCGACAGTTTCCTCTCATCCCAGGCTCTGACACACACTGGCGGGGAACAGGCGGGGACAGCGGGGTGGCATTTCTGAGTCTGGGCTTCCCTGCTTTCTGCCACCAACCTCCTCGGTCCTGCCCAGAACAGAATGATGAGGAGGATGCTAGAGGCAGAGCTAAGAGGGGGTCTGCTGTCCGGAGCACCACTTCAGACCCGCCTTTCCCACTCAGGTACTGTCCTTTCCCATCTGCTGGTACATCCCCTGCGGGGAGCTGACCGATCACCCCAAGACAAGAGTTCCTCAGGAGATGGGCAGGGGGCCGGGAGGTAACCACCAAGGACACACCAGGCCCAGGTGTGCCCAGTAGTAATGGAGCCTCCTGTACCCCGCCTTCCTCCTCAACCTGTCTCTCCAACCCAGGCTTCTATTTTTAAAATTTATTATTATTGAAAAAATTAATTTCAGCTAATTTCTATTTTTAGTAGAGACAGGGTCTTGCTCTTGCTGAGGCTGGTCTCAAAC